AGTTAAAAATAGTTTTATAGTGATCATATATTTTTATAAATTTGTATGTATACTACACAAAATGAACATAAGAGTTAATAAAAACGAAATGTTTTTATTTTGTCTTTGGGAATTTTGAAGCGTCAATAGCCTAATGGTTAAGGATTTCCGACCACTAGGTCGGGGATTCGAATCTCGCCATTCGACTATTGTAAACCATATCCTAGCACAAGCATAGAGCTTAGTTGGAATGGTTAAAGAAATATTAGTAAATTTGCAAAAAAATCTGCTAATATTTTTATATAAAAAAAAGTCGTTCCAAATGTTTTGACCAATTGAAGTCTGTTTCATGTTAACATAAATTTCCGTATCCATACCTAGTAGGAAAACCTGACAATATGTTTTCGTATGAATGATTTAGGAGTAGAAAATCATTGTAATACAATTTTACCACAATAGTTTATCAAAAGGAGTTCATAATAATCAATGAATTACTTTCTTAGTGGACACTTTCACCATAAGAGATTTACTTCGACGTTTATCGGATACTTACTCTTAATGACTTGTGAGCGACTTTCCCAGACAAGAAATAGATTTCTAAGCTCGATCAACGCACTAACATGAAGTACAATAATTTAATAAATTTCCCAAACATTGTACTATCTATACTATCTTTTAATGTTCTATTATCTTTTTGTGCGTTACGTTCTCCGTTAATTAAAGGTTGGCAATACATATGTTGGACTATGGTCGCTTCGCTATTTCAGTGAATTCAGGCAGACGCTTGCTCGTTAAAAAATCGCACAATTTTTTTTAACAAAGGCCATTGTTATAAGTAGCGAAGTGTTAACCACTAGGTTTAACTTATATGTTACAACTTAGATTCATTAAATGCTTACCTAGTCCTTTAGTGTTGATTTCTTTTTGTTTTCCCTTTATTTTTTAGGGACTTTTGTTCTTTTAAACATGTCAGTCCCATAACAATCAAATTAGAAGCTAATCACAACTATAAGTATACAAGCAAGCGATATAAAAAAAAAAATAATAATAAGAAATAACAAACAAAAATATTTACACTTAATTAATATCTACAGTTAATTTTTTATATCAATAAGAAGGTACTACCTAAGTTACTTCAGGAATGAGTGGGTTTCTGAACGCAAATTTCCGTTTAAAAGTGTTACCTCTGTTTTGTCCGAAATAATGACATAGATGATATGTTTTATACGGAGTTTTTGATCTCAGAAACTCCCGGTTAGTGTGATATTCAGTCACTTAAGTAACATTTATCTTGAAAATAATATTTTTCTAAGCATAATACAAATAAACAGGATATGTGTATTTGTGTGGTCGTTCTTGTGAATATTGTAACGTGTCTTCTCAACGTTTTTGTCATTGTATTCAAATATGATTATCGCATTCTTTGTACCAATTGAGGGCGAAGTCGCGTTACATTAGCCCGGTTAACGTACAGTTATAATGATTACCCTTGATGCTAATGTTTGGATGGATGGGTGTTTGTTTGTTTGAAGGTATATCTAAAAAGGCTGCATAGATATCGCTGAAATTTGGCATAGATGTAGAACATAGCCTGGAACAGATAGGCTACTAATAGTTTTTTTAATACCGCGCGGACGGAGTCAATATAACTTGTATAGAATTTAAGCGTCAATGGCCTAATGCTAAAGGGTGGCCGATCGCATGGCCGAGTGTTTGAATCCCATCATTCGATTATTGTCATAAACCATTTTAACGCAATTATATAAAAATGTATTATGGGTATAATTGTAAACAATTTACGACTATTAACAAGTATTTTACAGATAATATCTGTCGTACAACAGACCAGAGATAATATAGAGAGCTATTGTCACAGATTATAATAAAATAAAGTCTAAAACCCTGATGTCTTTGTTAACTGCTGTACAAGATAAAAAAAATATATTAATGTAACGTTTTTCTACCTAATTTCACTATCTATATCGATAATTTAAATTAAAATGTCTTTCAACCGAAAATGAAATTACAATAAGGCGGAAAAGTTTCTGGCAGCCATGACAAATTGTGTATACGATTGTGAAAAAAAAATGTTTGGGAAGTAACGCAAATTATTATAAGAGAAAGGCGTCTTTTGTGTTTTGTTAACGTTTTCACTATTTAAATGGACACTGAGACAACAAGTATGCTTATATTTTCTAATGCATTAAGTTTATTTGTCAAAACTTATGTTTTCGTAGCTTTCTATACTAAAGCTTAAACGTTTTTCATTTTAGATGAATTAATATAACTTCCTTTTTATCAAACTTAACATTTTTTATTCGACGAACTTTAATAAGATCTTTTCCAGATGTTAATTCTCATACCGGTGATGTTCATCAGGCTATAGCCCCATAGAGAAGAGATTAGAGATCTATGAAAGATTTTAGCACTCACTCGTAACAGTTTCTTCCTAGAAGTAGGATATCTTTTGTAGATCCCATCTTACAAGAAAAGACGAGATACATTTAAGTTACTTACCATTTCTGTGATCCTGAGTCCGATACACCAGTTACGTTTGAGCGCAGCTGCTGCGCGGCTATCGCGCTCATTGCCATCCCCTTCTTCTCCCTTCTTGGCTTGCGCCTCCGCCTCCCTGTCGCCCGCAGACATGGCCCACACCACGCGTGCACCGCCACCAAACTCCGACACCTAGATACAACAGATAGAGACATTACTTGTAAGAGTTAACCTTAGGATTGAGACAGAAATGCAGAGTGAGAAAAGTAGACTATATCTGTCTCTCTATCAGCTTCTAAGCAGTAACTAACTCAGTAGAACATCTACGAGGAACCTTTTACGCTCAGGAGAGAGGAATAAAGTGAGATAGATATAATTTTGTCTCTACCTGTCATCTTATAAGCTGGTTAACTTAAGTTAAGTGACGTATCTAGAAAATACCGAAGTTTACAAAGATGTACTTGTCCGTTCAGTCTCACGAATTAAATGCGTAAGCTTTATAAATATAGGTTTACTATATTGTATTATCCTATGTTCTTTACGTAGTCTATTTAGTCCAATTTAAATATTAACTATGGAACCATAAGTTGTACTGTTCTGTTCTCGTTCTCTCTGGCTGATTTAGATTATCCTTTTATATTATAAAATATGCATCATATTCTACTATCAAGTGGGTCGGTGGTTAAGCCAGTGCTTTTTATATTAAATTAATCAGTATTTATTTAATATAAAAAGGCCTTGACAGACAGACGGACGGACAAGAAAGTGATCCTATAAGTGTTCCGTTTTTTTTTCTATAAGGTACGGAACCCTAAAAATGAACGTATAAGTATTTGCAGTATACAATGTTTTGATTTAAGTCTTCTTTTATACAAGTTTCGCTCCATATAAAGTGCAACACGTTTAACGACCGGTTACCCCGGTACTCTTTACACGCAATTACGTTTTACTACTAATAACAAATAAAACAAAACTGTATAGTATAACCAAATAAGTAACATAAAACTCTATAATAGATATAATAGTGATTCGATATTGTTTTATTATAGCAAGGAAATGGAACTTTTCATATTACTCTTGGTAAATCGATTTTAATAAATTAAATATTATTCGTGTAATAAAAATAATCATTCGTGATCGATCGAAGTATTAAATTGCATTTGTAATAATTTGAATTGTGATATAGGCTTTTGTTTTATATTACGGAAACAATATCAAATAAAAAAAGTTGAATTACGTACGGTAATTTTTATAAAGCCGAGTTATATATTATTTGTGATCGCAAGGGAATTGGAAAATTACAGAATATGCTCTCTAGACAAATCTTACAGCTCTTTTTCTAGAAAAATTAAATTGAACTGTGTCAACTTCATAAACAGTGTGAACGTAAAGTGTAAAGAAAACAAATATGTAAGAAATTACGTTGTCTGACTACGCTGTAGAACCTATAAGAACACATAGTCTACTTATTAAAATTTTTTTTAATTCCCCGTGGACGGTGTTGCAAGTGACAGCTAGTGAATAATAAATCTTCGAAATACTTGCAAAGTGCGTAGAAAATACAATATAAATTAGTGCATAATGCACATTTTTTTACATAATGAAGTAAAATCGTGATGCGCATAACGCATGCCAATCGCTCGCACGGAACGCACGCTCGCGCACTTTCCAATAGCCGCCGGATTGTTGGACAAAAACACAAACGGCTCGCCCACGACAGCTTGTTAATAATACATCAATATAACGTAGCTAATATAACTACAAAAAGCAGAGAGGTGTGGTCAGGTTCGCGTAATGGAAATTTATAATCTCTGCTTACGTTTCTGTATTTCAGTATCGTACCTAAATATGTCTTTAATTATGCAACACAAATACTAACTGTCGCACACGACACCGTCAACGCGGAATTAAAAAAAAAAACTTAATAAGTAGCATATGAGTTCTTCCAGACTATGTTCTCCATGTATGCCAAATATCATCAAAATCCGCTGAGCCGTTACGTAGATACCTTCAAACATCCATCCATCTAAACTTTCGCATTCATAATATTAGCAACATAATACCAAGATGAACTGAGACGAATATCCCAGAGGAGTAGACATAGTCCGGATAAAGGAGGAAACGGATGCATCGTCATCAAATCTTCCATTATTATTATTCTCAACATATACTAACACTGAGTTTCCACCGACGAAACATTACATCAATGGTTACATCAGTGGAAATTTACAGGAATTTAGTTACGAAAATTATGATGCACAATTTATTTCAAATAAGCTACGTCAAGAGCCTGTTAGCTACGTTATAGGACGATTGATTGATAAATTCAAACCTGCAACTTTTTGTTTTACATGTCGCCATGGCAATAAGTTAATTATGTATGCGATCATCATCATCAGCTCACTATACATTCCCACCGAGGGGGCGATTAGGCCATAGTCATCCACGCTGGCCAAGTGCGGGCTAGTTGACTTCACATATATCTTTGAATTTCTTCTCAGATATGTGCAGGTTGCATCACGATGTTTTTCTTCGCCGTAAGAATTTCGGATAAATGTACATATGCAAATCGGAAATCGAAAGACACATTGGTACATGGCGGGATTCGAACCCAGGACCTGCAGATTGCAAGTCTTGTATGCGATATTCAACTAAAATCTAGTATAGATTATAAATAGTAGGATTTGAAAGATGATTCTATTGAAGACAGATCAAATTACTTCAAACAATGTCAGTCTTCAAGGGAAACATGTATATCTCATTTCCTTCAGTCATTGACAAACTTGACCGCTAAGGATTAAAAACAATTTTATTGCTAGATTTCATTTAGGAACCTAATCTAAAATAGTACTATTGGTTGTATAAAAATCCACAATTATTAACTGTTAAGACATTAAAATGCTAATAGCCCAATGGTTAAAGGCACGTACATCCGACCAAATGGTTGTGGTTTCGAATCTCGCTTTTTGACTAAACAAAACGATAAAGCGATGTTCGTTTATTTGTAGTTATTTCTACGAAAGTTCATTATCACGTAACAAATGATTCAATATATATAACGCTATTTATTTGTGAAAAGCTTATAAACTTCATTTAAAACTATGGAAAAACCAGTTAACTCTGTATTTATTGACTATAACATTTCTGATTATTATTTTAAACTTATACGTTTATCGTGTTTTCCATAACCGTATTATGAAATGCAGTAAAGTGAATAATTGAACCTTATTTGAATTCTATTATAACAAATTATCAAAATTAACTACAAATATTTCAATTTAATTTATTTCTCGATGATAAAATAATTATATAATAAAAAAAATGTCAACTTTTAATTAGCCCTTAGTTTTTAAATATTACATTATAATTTTAACTTAATTGCCTGCAATAAATAAAATTAAAAAATGCAAAAAAAATCTTACCAAAAATTAAAAAGATTTATTTGGAGCGAAGTAATCCACTTCAAAAGTACACAATAGTATTAAAAATCACTAATATTTGAATTATAATTTGCGACGCGTAGTAAAAGCGTAATCGATGGACGCGACCTCTGTCGACGGAGTTTACTGAGCGACTGACATTTTGCCGCCATCGCCGCACCTCAACGACTTTTCGAACAAAACAACTTGATCCCTGTTGTATCCTATATCGTCCCTTTTTACAGCTTATTGTCTCATAAAGTAGGCGCCATGACGTGTCAATTGTAACTGGTCTGGCATTACCACAGTTGTGCGTAGTAAAAATACATTGTGGAAGATCGATTTAATTAATAAAACATTGAGAGTTATACTTAAATTGAGCAAAACTACGTACGTTATAACGTACCCAGTATCGGTTTTATTAGAATTATATTCAGATAAATCTGGTCTCTTTTAGGCGAATGTTTTCGCAAATTACCATAACGATACTTTTTTGTTTTTCAAGAGTAAATAATCTATAATGTTTTAACAGTGGTAGAGCCCGCTTTAACATCTTCGCACGAATTGGCCCGACTCGCCCGGTGAAATACCACGCCTACACAGAAGACAGGCGTGAAGTGGAAGCAGTTCCGCGTTTCGTCTGATGAGTGTGCGTCCCGGAGGCCTAGTTTAGTCCTCTTTCCCTTCCCACCCTTTTCCTTATGAGGAAAGGATGGGAAGTGGAAGTGAACTTTCCGGATGAGAGGATGCATGGAAAAGGAAAATAGCTAGGCAACGCATATGCAATTGCGTATGTCTATGGGCAACGGTCACTTCGCTATTTCAGCGATTCCAGGTAGCCGCTCGCTCGTTTGCCACCTTATGATATAAAAGAAACATTGATTATAGCTTTTTCACATTCCCCCTATTTTTCTTTTAACACTAGAAATAATTTCTTAGTACTTCTATATATTTGTCGTTATCACATAACAAGGAACAATAATAAAGAACACATGAATAAAATAAACATAAAACAATTATTAACAATAATGAAAACAGTGTTGAAATAACTATTTAAATATTTCTTATTGTCACGTATTTGTTTCTATTTTATTATTTATATTATAAATTATCGTTATGTCGAATATTTCCTCGGCAATAGAATAAAATATATGTAATCGTGAGTGTCTGAGACCAAAATCTACATTTAAAACATATTCTTATCTCTTTTATGTCATAGATGCATATATTTTGGTTTTAGAAACCCACAGTTATATGTGTAACTGATCAATTGTTTATTATGTAGCTATTCGTAAATTGAAAAGTCACTTTCTAGAGTTTTCCGGTCTAAAAGCCAGCGCGCGCATAACTGCATACAAACAAGCGCATGCGCACGCACAATTGATACTTCGACTGTCTTTTGTTGTTACTAGTTTCTGCCCGTGATTCCGTCCGCGCGGAATTAAAAAAAAACTTAATAAGTAGCCTATGTGATCTTCCAGACTATTTTCTACATGTGTGCCAAATCTCATCAAGATCTGTTGAGCTGTTCCGGAGATAACTTCGAACAAACATCCATCCATCCATCTAAACTTTCGCATTTATAATAGTGGTCGTGGTGATTAAATTTTCATTTAATTTCATTACCATATGATCCAGTACGCAATAGAATGTTGTCTCCCAATTCTTTTCTGTAACTTCCTTAACCGTGGGCTTCCACTGCCCTAACACCTGTACAGAAACATATTACTATCACTGTTTTTGCAAACTCAATGAATGGGACAATATGTCTGTATATACAGCGGAAATCTACGACTAACTTGTGGCTTTTTATATACCTTGTTCCTTATAGTATGAAAAGAACTTTGTTTACGGGTAACGTTGCTAATTTTCTCTGTACTGTAAGAAAGAAAATCCAACACAGTGACGGTGTATCGGCGCAACACTAGCCTTATTAAAATGTCAATGCTTTTTTTATATCATAAGGTGGCAAACGAGCGAGCGGTCACCTGAAATCGCTGAAGTAGCGAAGTGACCGTTGCCCATAGACATACGCAATTGCATATGCGTTGCCTACCTTTAATCGACGGAGGAGAGGATGCACAGAAAGAAAATGTTTTCCCTTCCCATGCATCCTCTCATCCCGAAGGTCCACTTCCACTTCCCATCCTTTCCTTGTAAAAAAACAGGTGGATAGGGAAAGAAGACTAAATTAGGCCTCAGTAACGCACACTCATCAGACGAAACGTGGAATTGCTTCACGCCTGTCTCCTGTGTGGTCGTGGTATTTAACCGGGCGAGCCAGACCAATTTATGCGAAGATGTTAAAGCGGGCTACCACTGTTGATGATTCTAACTTATAATGTCTTCCATCTTTTAGTAGTCATTCGAAGAATTAACCATGGAATAATGTATAAGGGACTTTATCCTCATGCATATGTTTTTACATATAAATAAAACTGAAAATCATGTAAAATTATTCATCACACCATGGAAACTGCAATTAGGTCATAATGATTCATAAATTATTATTTCTTATTCGTAATTACTCATTTAATTGATAAATATGTTCGTAATTCATTGACTGGTGTCAATAATAAATACATTATTGTAACAGGATAATTGGTTTCAGATCAAGTAATATGCTTCATTATATTTTATTTATAATAAGCGATTCATGCGTAAATTAAGTATAGATTGTAGTTTGAGAAAAACTCCGATATAACCAAACTAATCAAGATTTGGACCAATTTAAAAGGAATGTTTTCATTTTAATATTTTACCTAAAATGTTTTTTAATTCTTTCAAATCGTTAGTACTTGACTACTGCATGTTTAAAAATAACAAATCATAAATCTTCGTTTTAAAAACGGGTAAGCGTATTTTATATTGATTAAAAATTTTCCAACTATATTTATACTTTTGAGTTTCTCAGAAACAACAACTAATCAAAATTATTTCTGTTTATAATATTCTTTATAATCTCATTAACATTATTCGTGCGTACAAAATGCAGTGTTAGTGCACGTTTGATAGTTGAGGGCGTGTTAGTGACAAACAATAAGGCTTTGTGCACGAACCATGTTATCGAAGTATTACCCATTGTTATATTATTTATTCGTATGCTTGCATAGCTTTGATTATGAACTTTAAGTAAGGCCTTCGTGACACTTACGAAGGCTCCACACAATTTGTTAATAACTAGCTGTCGGTCGCGACTCCGACTGCTCGGAATTAAAAAAAAACTTAGTAAGGACACTATTGTGTTCTTCCGGATTATTTTCTTAATTTCTAGCAAATATCAGTAATATCCATGCAGCAGTATTGGAGATACTTTGTAACAAACATCCATACATCCAAACACTCGTATTTATAATGTTAGTAAGATTACTATTTTTTTTTTTAATTTGCACCTTATAGGTACACAGAAATGCATACAGATTTAAACTTATAAAATCATTTTTTCTAATTAGTTTTGTGGACATTAGTATTAAATCAATATAATCAGTTTCTAAGGAAAGATTTCAGTTTGAAATTCTCCTTCATATGTCCTTCGGAATTAAGTAAGATTGATCCATTTCTCCCGCCAATGGCATAGCCGCCATGTTGTCGCCAGTTTTGGCGCCAACTGTCTGTGTTGTCGGGGTGCGTTCTGAAACATCGTCTGACCTGTTTACACTGACACCATTCTTTCAAATTATTTAGGGCATATGTATTTCATTAGTGCAGTTTATAAACCATTTCTCTGCTGCTAAATGCAATTTTATCCTTATCTAAAAGAGCAAACGAATAAGTACTAAAATATGTTATTTTGTACCGTACGATTAAATAAATGTCTAAGACATAAGTTGTAAAGTTACAGTAGCTTAAGACATTTTTTTTTTAAATTTAAAACTTATTTACAAATGCTTTGATAATGTGTATTTTAATTATCAATTTAACAATCATTTGCAAGATGGACCGATGACCTGGTCTAGGTTGCGGGAGTGTATTGGACGCGGGCGGCACAGGAAAGGGCATTGTGGCAATCGATGGGAAAGCCCTATGTTCAGTAGTGGACGAATCAAGTCTGACTATGATGATGAACTATCATTTTTCCATTTAATTTAATTTCAAATCAAACGCCACATACATACAAGTATTAAGCTTTGCTGATAGTTATTGTAACAACAAACCTATTTCTAATGCAAACAAAGTCCCCGTACGTCTCACAGTTAATGCATTGTACGTGCGAGCAACTCAATGGAAACTGCGCCGTTACTTCCCCAACTAGGCTACTCGAATGTCATTCTTAACGTGTGTTTCCACTGACGAAACATTTACAAAATATTGACCTCTATTTTATTATAGGGAATGAATGATGACAACATGATTTTGTACGAATATTTCAGCAATTACTTCAAGGTTATACCAAACTACTTTTTGCCCGCAACTTTGTCTGCGCGGAATTTAAAAAATAGTTGTTAAGTAGTGTGTAGTGTTCTACATCTTTATCAAATTATATCCAGTTCCATGCAGACGTTCTGGAGATACCTACAAACATCTATCCATTCAAACATTCGCATTTAAAATATTAGTAGGTAGCAATGTTTAATGGCATAAGGCAAGTACGGTAAGTATAAGTAGGGCAAAATGGTATATTATAATATAGTCTGTTCTACTTCTGAACGCACCATCTATACAAGTACAGAATATGCACTGAATTTGTTCATACAGCAAATGATTCGGGACACACCGCTTTTAAAACGGCATGTGTCTTGTCGATACGATGAACATCACTAGAGTTAAAATGATCAAGCTAGTGATGTTCTTATTATGATTCGTAATTATTCATATACCGTTACAAATAAATAAGACTGAAAAATAAAATCAAAATGCGAAGAAAACATTTGTTTACATCTATGACAAAGACAATAATGTGTTGAGACTTTATAGTCCCAGTAAAAGCACTTGACTTGTTCCTGGGTTCGAATCCGGTGTGTACCAATGTATTTTTCAAATTTCGATTTAAATATATACAATCCGACGTTCTTACCGTAAAGGAAAACATCGTGATACTGCACATAGGTGCCAGCGTAGTTGACTATAGCCTAGTCAACCTTAACTTACGGTAGGCTTTAAACCTCTCAGTGTGGACTTATAGTGAGGTGATGATGTAAGATAAAAACTACCGTTTTAACTACTAGACTATTAAACTACATTGTAGTGTTAAGATTGACAAGGTCACATGACTGAGGTAACGTAATTGTGTGTTGTGGATAATTGTCGTAATTATCAACATAGTCACAAATGGTAGCGCAAGGATATCACAACAATGAACTTTTGTATAGACCTGAGGTAATGTTTTATTTTGATGATGTCGCGTCGATCGTCGGTGGCTCAGTGGTCAAGCACTCGACTTGTAATCTGCAGGTCCTGGGTTCGAATCCCGCCATGTACCAATGTGTTTTTCTATTTCCGATTTACATATATAAATTTATTCGACGTTCTTACGGTGAAGGAAAACATCGTGATGCAACCTGCACATATCTGAGAAGAAGTTCAAAGATATGTGAGAAGTCAACCAACCCGCACTTGGCCAGCGTGGTTGAATATGGCCTAATCACCCTTAACTTAGGGTAGGCTCCGAACCCCTCGGTGGGGACGTATAGTGAGCTGATGATGATGATAATGACAGAATGAGAAATATGAGTTTTATTATCTGTGGAAACTTTCGTATTTGTGATCTAAGTATTTACAAGTTCATTGCCCCTTTATTAAATATGACTTTCAAAACAGACGTAATTTTTAACTTAAAAAAAATTACCATTTAATACTTTCCACAATTATAGCAATTATTTAATTGTAGAAAAAACATTGCAAAATAATTATAAAGAGAACACAGAACTTTAAGGTAAGATACGAATATTTGCAATTGTGTTTGTCTGGTTTTTAATATTTCGAGAAATAAAATAATTTTTGTATCTAAAAACTGTATCTTAGTTTTTTTTAATAAAATATTGTAATATAATTAGTGTTAACTATAAAATAGTAATTTAAAATTAAATAATAATTAGTTTACCTTAGTTTCCTTAATTACGATTAATGTAATTTGACGTTAAAAGTAAAAAAAGTGTATAATTCTGAGGATATTCGTATCAAATACGTGAAAATTTAATTAACTAATATCCGCATGCATAAAGTAAATCGTATTTGTTTCCCGTCTACACGTACACTGTATTTATTGTGTTTTTAAAAGTAATTTATGATTTATTATACGAACTAGTTGTGGCCTGCGACTCTAGCTGCGCGGATTATAAAAGACATTAGTTATACATATGTGCAAAATTTTAGCTAGATCCATGCAGGCGTTGTAGAGATACCTTCTAACAAACATCTATCCATCCATACATCCGAAAATTTACATTTATAAAATTAGTAAGGTTATACCAATTTAAAATTAGCATTGCAAGAAAAAAATACTCAGTAGCAAAATTTTGATTTTTTATTACTTTTTAGTTTTCATTAGGCTTATTTTATTGTATTCAAAACAATGCTACATAAGAAAAGATTTTTAAATATCCAAATTATTTCTCAAGGTCCCATGACCCAAATTCTTAATTGTAAAGGTGAATTTTGTCAATAGACTAATTTAGTATTTAAAAAGATAATTGTCAGTTTGTGAGTTCTGTTAAATTGTAAAATGAAAGTACAAATACTTACGTCTTCCGTTAGAGGAGCAATTGTGACGGCGTAGATATCCAGTTCGCAGAGGAAATCCTTCGAAATCGGCGATATCGTTACTAAGCTGCCCGTGTACAGGCACTCCAGTTTTAATTGGTTTTTTTTTCAATAATAATCCCACTAATTAAAATTTTAATACTGGCATGAATAAAAAATACAAAAGTCCACTGTCAGTTATCAAATAAAGAACTCAGAGATTTTTTATTTTTATTTTTTGTCAGTATTCTAACCGGCTTAAGGAGCAAGGAGTTTCTATTTGAAATTCTAAAGCATTAATGAATCATAATCGAGATGTCCCAGCGCATAGGATATCATTGTTTAACCTCCGACATCTCTAATTTGACACTTGCATTGACCCCCAATCTTGTAATTCAGTTACGTGAGTTCATCCAAGATATATAAATTTATCCAACCGCTCCGTCCATAATAGTTCTTATTAATTACAGGTAATATGGTGCATAAATAAACAGTCTTTTACTTAGCTAACATTTTATTTAATTTAAAATAACATTCACAGTAAAAATATTTCAAAATAAAGTACTTAAAATAAAATGTGTTCTTATAATAAAAAGGTGGGGAAAAAAAGTGTTCATGAACGAGAGCTGTTATAAATAATTGTTAAAAAAAGTTTTTCTTGCATAAAAAAAAACTTTAAAAAAAATCTGTCGTATTCTGATAAATATCGGCATGCTAAAAAAATATATTTTTTTTTGTATAAAAATAATGAAAACATCTTTAAATTTAAATATATTTTGATCGATGATAATAATTTACTAATATTTTTCTTTAGTATATCTTCTAAAGTGTTATATTAAAACAACGCACAAACTTAAATCTACGTAAAGTTATTGTTGTCTTTGCGTTTACATTTCCTTGGTGAAGTGAATAATTGCAAGTACCGTATCTAGTAAGTACACCGCACCTTGAATCACGCAGAGAGCGCCCACTGCTAGGCCCACCTGGAAATTAAATTTATAGCATTAACTGACGTACTCATAGACGATTGGTCGCTAAAGGACACCTTATGAAAGAGACGAGTGAGAAAGTATTTTAGGGCTTAAATGAAGTTTAAAAGTAAAAAAAATGTAACGCTAAATATTTGGAGGTTCCCTAATTACCATGATTGCCGATTATAAGATTTTATAAATTTCCCTGTGGCTAATGACAATTTGTGATGGCTAAAATAATCCTATAACCTTTTTCATTTCATGCTTCGAAATAATGTAATCTCAAAACGTTAAGATCCGTATTTAAAGAGACCAGAGTCCAAGACTTTTTGGTTTTTGGAGAAAGAGTCAAAATATTGAATAAGTACCAAGTTTTTTTTAAATATCTTAATTATTTGTCATATTTTAGTTTAGTTGTAATAGTTTAGTTTTTCACAACTCAATGACTAGCGTGTTACAAAACACATGAGACCTGTCTTTCTGCAAAGACGAACTGGAACTGGTGCTCGCCCTGGTAACCACCCCAATAGTGCAGCGCCACCGCACCAACCGCGATCCACAAGAACACGCCCACGAAGTTCATCACTATGTCACCTAGGGCCCTGCAAAAAGTATGAAAATATGTTTAAGCTAAAATGTAGTTTAGTTTTTTATGGTTAGACCAAATATTTGTACTTTCTTTTTTTAGTATAGATCCTAAAAAGTAATGGCGAGTAAGATTAGAACTCTAATTTTAATCCTTTATCAAGGATGGGTTTCTGAGATCGAAATCTCCCTCTGATTAAAACATATTGATATCTTTGTTTTGTCAAATATACTGAAAGAGATGATGATATGTTTTATACAGAGATTTTAGTCTCAGAAACCAACGGTAGTATAAAAATCTATAAAATGCGCTATTTAAATTGTTGTTCCATAAATTGGATTGCTGCTTACCGTTTATGCTCAGTGGTGCCAAACAAGAATGTGACGACTTGTACAAGAGTGTAGATGAGGTAGCCGACGATAACACCAGAAGCGACAATTTCTGCATCAGGATTCTTCTCCTCATTGAGGTTCCATGTGCCTCCGACGCCAAGGAACTCACCATTGTACCCAGTGCGATACAGCACAAGAATAACAATGTTTAATACCTGTAAGATAAAGATATAAAAAATGAGACTATAAAACTAGAAAGACAAATATTTTCATACTTTAAGTACCACAGATAATAAACGATGCTCATTCAAAACTGAAGTTAAAAACGATCTGGTTAGAGTTCGACTTAAACGCAGTTTAGGAAATGTAAGTTAAATTCAGAAAGATATTTTAGGATTAAGTAGAGATTGACTGAAAACTTATTTTTCGCAGTCATGTCCATCCAGAAAAAGAAAGAGAATAGTATATTCGTTTTTTTTTTATAATTACGATATTATTTACACACACAAAAACCATTTAATAAAAGACACTTAAATATTTTTTATCATGCCAACATCCTGTTTCTATTAGTCAATTCAAAAACAAAGCCGTTTTCTGATACTAAATAATTTCATTACTGAAGACATATTGCATTCCCAAGTATGACATCATACAATTGGAATCACTATTTGTTGACATACAGTTGATAAGATACAGATGACGATAATTAATGTTATACCTTTTTACTTATCAATAAATAGGTTTTATTCATTTTACCTGTATATTTACCAAAAAAGTTTTATAACTTGTAAACACTGGCAGCATAGGTCGTTCCCGTATTGAATTAAAGTTAAAAATAGTTGAAATGAAAATCAATGTAACTGGCAATGTACAGTAATAAAAAACAAAGAAAAACAATATTATTTTATTTATAAGTTATATGGCTTTCAGTTACCGTGTTCCAAGACGTGGTACTACAGTAACAAAAAAATAAAAAAAAACATAAGCAAAACGTGTACTCAGACATAACAAAACTCGAATACTTCAAGGCGAACAGAGAATAAATGTTTTAAAAAAAATTCAAGTTATAAAAAATGATTTTTACATTTGTTAAATAGAAAAATTATACATAGTTTCCTTTATTAAATATATTCTTAGTTGTGGTATTAATTATAAGATAACATTGTTAGCAATACAATAGAAGTAAACAATTATTATGATGCAAGTCACATACGATAGGTTTTGCAGCAGGGTTTTAGCAGGCAGAACTAATTTCATAGTAGTATTTGCCTGGAGAGCGTCGGTGACTCAGGGGTTAAGCGCGTGACTTGTAATGTACAGATCCTGGATTCGAATCCCGCCATGTACCAATGTGTTTTTCGATTTACATATGTACATTTATACGACGTTTTTACAGTGAAGGGAAACATCGTGACGCTACCTGTACATATCTGCGAAGAAATTCAAACAAATGTGTGAAGTCAACCCTAACTAGTCACGCTTAACTTAGGGTAGGCTACGAGCCCCTCAGTGGGAACGTGTATTGAGCTGATAATGATTTGCCTGCATGTAAAGACAAAACTGTCCTGTACAAACAACTGGGTTACCTAAATAATTTGTCGTCTTGTGTGTCGAGAGTTCGGCATCTGTGCTGGTCATCAATCAATCGAGCAAATTGCTCTGTTATTCTGGCGACACATCTGTACTGTTCCCGACACATGACTGATGAGGAATCAACACTAAGCTGTGCTCATATATTTAAATATTAGCTGTCGCCCGCGACTCCGACTCGCATAATTAAAAAACAAACTTTGTTTGAAGCCCATGTGTTCTTCCAGACTATGTTCTACATCTATGGTAAATTCCATCGAGATCCCTTCAGCCGTTCCGGAGATACCTTCAAACAAACTATCATCCATTCATACATCTATCCATCCATATAAAGATTCTCATTTATAATATCCTAAGCGAGCTTTACTCACAACATTGATATAAATAATCTCAGATTTCACACCTGTATTCTGGCTTCTAACCCTAAATAATCGAAGAAATATTACTTCTTGTTAATTTTTATTAAAAAGAAACGATCCTACATTGCACCCCGGACATTGTATTCAATTGGTATAAGAGTCATCTGTCGGGGCAGAAGTCAAAACCCAAATGGCTCTACATGAATGTAGCACAGAGTATAGAATTTGTAGACATTTCATCGGGAAATTTCTAATATTTTTGTTATCGTCTTTCACTGCCACGCGGGGAAATTCCGAAGTCTTCCATTATAGATTTATTATATTTTAGAATTTAAGGCTGTCACTTAGCGACCAATTAACAAACTAGTGGCAGTTAGTTTGATCGCATAAAAAATTTGTTATTAAATTTAAATTATTTAGTTAGCGAGTTAATTTACAAGAAAATCAATTATGTATAAAAAGCAATGATACGAGCCATTAATTCATTTAAATGGAAACTGTTTAGTTTCAGCAATGAACTGTCGTTTTCACTGGATACAACACAACCTTGACACGAACATCGCAACAAGTTTCATTTTACATGCGTTATTAGAAAAATTACGTTTGATGTTTTATAATAAAGTTGTAGTTTAATTTGTAAAGAAGCAAATACGTTTTTAGATAATAAAAAATAAGCCAAAAAATACAATTATGGTGTTAAGCTATTGATATATTAAAATGATTGAATTCAACTCTCGGCGTCGACTCCGACCACGCCGAATCAAAAAAAACTTTATTAGTAGCCTATGTGTTCTTCCAGATTATGTTCCACATCTATGTCAAATTTCAGCTAGATCGATTTAGCTGTTTTGGAGATAAGTAATAATAAACAATTATCCCACTTTCTCATTTATACTATTGGTAAGATAAATGTTATTTGGCTAGTGTAATTTTTTATGAAATTCCACTGCCTAAAAACTTGTATCAAAATATTTTATTAGTTCTGTTTTTTTCAATAGAATAAGATACATATCTGAACACATGTGTTTCGTCAGTGGAAACCTACTGTTAGTGGTTTAAATACGAATTAATCTCTCTGTTATTCAGTGGTCTGTACCCGGCAGCTGACAATTACAGTCGGAATCATAACGTCGACTTTAATTACAGCCGACGGGCGCAGGAAGCTTGGATTCAAACAATTATACATTGATGACTTCCTCGCGGCGCCGTGCCGGAGAGAGCGTGTCTTGCTATTTAGCATCGATTCTAAATTACAATACACACGAACACATTCATCATCAGCTCACTATACGTTCCCACTAAAGGGCGAAGTCTAACCTAAGTGAGGGATGACTAGGCCATAGTCTACCACGTTTGCTCAGTGCGGGTTGACTTCACGCATATCATTGAATTTCTTCTCAGATATGAACATATTAATTCTTGATTGATTTCTTGACATTTACTGTCAGAATCATGAAGTGAATAGTATTTTATATTTAGCCTTCAATAAATATGAAATCCAGAAATATAGTTATTTATGGGATGCAGAAATCTTATGGCAAAAAGTCCCTAAGAATGAATCACACTAAAGTGGACAATTATATAAAGTAAAGCGGTCACGTCTGATCTATGTGCATAATGGTCTACGTCAAGGTGAAGGCAATGTTTGTTTGTCCACTGCCTCTGTGGAATCATTATTGTTTGATACACTTATGGTATTGTTAGTATCAACCTACTACTTATAGTTTTTATATCCATACATGATAAGATTATAATGCCTAACCAAACATATCTAAGGTCAGATTTTCTTTTGATATTGTACATATTGGTACCAACAACGTTTTTAACCCTTGTAATCAGATTATTCATTAAAATCTTCTAACTTATTCAATTATTCAAACTTTCGTGTGACATTATAAAATTTATATAAAAACGGATAAACACTCACGTATATTTGTCCGGTGGCGGCACCGACTAGTTTCGAGCCCATCGGGGGCCGCGTCCGCGAAATAATACCAGTCCCACTCACCCCGATGAAGGGCACCCGATGGGCCTGTTTAGCCGTTTTTATATAAATTCTCACTTATGCCTTAAATACGTAAATTTTAAACTTAAATATTGTGTATTCTACATTTTAGTAGTAGTAGAGAGTTATAGTTTCTGCAACTCCACGACTATCGCGTTTTTAGCCAGGTTCCCGAACAACCCCAAGTTAATTCTTTTTCTTCAATATTGTTTGTACTATGAAATTTAATTAGAACCTTTAATAGGCTAAATACCGCTTTGTATGTAGTATTTAGAGTTACTCATCGCACATTAGTCACCTTGTGTTGCGGTCCAGGCTTAGTACCTTGCGGGAGACGTGACTAATGTTCTCAAACCATCAGATAAGCACATATTAGCTCTACTGTTTTGCAACGAGTACATACAGTGAGTATGAATAACGTCAGTTAACTCATAATTGAACAATTTTGTACTTAATATACTTGTAACATAAGGTTCAACTTTATCTAACGCTTATGTAAAATCAGTAAATGTACACTTTTATTTGTTGTTCTCGTGTTTTTTTGAATGAAATATTATATTTTTTGACTTAAGTTCGAAAAGACGGTGATAAAGGATTTAGTCAAATGTTCAAAGAAAGTGGCTATGGGATTAAGAATTTCACTGAAACTTTACGTTAATTAACTAAAGTCGATTATTTCAATCGATTGTAATATAAGTCCACACCTTTATAATGAACGATATAAAACTAATACTACAAGGCGCGGCCTTATCTATACTGATAGGAAACGAGGCCGCTACGAACTATCATCCGACTTTTATAACGTAGCTGTACAAAAACAAGCGAATTGGGGCACTCATTAAGTGAGAATAGTTTGCTCCATAGACACTAATGTTATCTATAAAAGTACGATGTGACATCACCTAAAGATGTGTGTCATTTGAGAGTTTCGATTGCCGTGATACTTTTGTTAATAATGTTATTATCCCTTTCTTTCTCTTTGAAAGAGAGGAGACAAATATAGGTAAATACGTCGAATATCACGGAAATATTTGAGAGTCGAGTAATCATTTAAAGTCGGTTTACTATGATTAAAGACACGTGTTATGTGTTATTCAATAATCACATAATTAATAGTACTATATTTTACACTTGGGATATGTAGTCTTTGAGAAACAATATTTTTGCCTTAATCTACAAATTCTTTGAATTCCTTGAGAACCAAGCATCCGGACGTTGTAGATTTATAACCTAGGATTTCCATTACAGAAACACTTCTATAAAACATGTTGACATCTCCTTTATCTATTAGAAGAAAATAGAGAAAACTATATATTTTAGTACAGTTAAAAATCACGGTAACAACAGCTAAATGCTGTTTCTCTGATATTCAAGCTTTATGAACATATTGTCAATATCAATTATAGGTTTTGGGTTACGTTAAGGGGAATACTCGGCGTATTGATCGTTTTGTTTTGGAATTATGAATGAATAACCGTTGGTTTTTGAGACCAAAAACTCTGTATAAAACATATCACCCCTGTGATCTTTGACAAAACAGAGATAACAATATGTTTTAAATGGGGAATTTTAGTCACAGAAATCCACAGTTAATTTTGTTTGTTTTAGATATTTGGTATTATAATGAGTAATCAAAATAAACTGCTCTTAAATAAGCATGGAATAGTTCTTCTGTAACCTATAGAGAAGTGAATAATAAATTTATTATTACCAATTATTACCAATATTATTTTGCCAATGAATGACGTAATTGAAATGGGACTCTAAATGGTTGTGTTCCAAATTAGAATATTTTCCAATTGGAAAATTATGTCCATTAAAGAATAACAGATAAGGGTTATAGATTCTTTTTACTTACAATTTTAAATACTTTCACCACAATAGTGGCTATTGTTTGGACGGACACCATTATCACTAATTCGCACACAAATTTGTAACTTAAAACTTTGTCAACAAAGCACTAGTTGATTTCTTTGTCTTTTTTCGTTTTTGCACTTCGTTCCTTTTGTCCGTTTAAGTTAAGAGGTAACTAGTCACTGGTTGATATGGTTTATCAGTTCCAATGTTTTTTATCAGTTCGTGCGAGTTTCTAATCTTATCTGTTTCAGCGAATTAGTGGGACAGGTTGCATATTGTGGTGTTAGCGTTCATATTGTCATAGAGAACTAATTTACCAAGGACTCGTGTGATATAGATTCTTTATTACGAAGAACTTTTTATGATTCATTGAGTATACTTAGAAATTGTGTACAATTTTCATTTAGATTTTGATAGGAATTCAGAACTGGCTGTTTCGAAAAATGCGTGGCTTGAATCCTACATTGATCTGTTTCTGTTTATTCTTGTAGTTATAAGAGATTAGAGAATAATGTAATACAGGGATGTGGTCGACTCTGGTGTTTATTTATGCCTTTACCGGCTGCATGTTTCCTTGGAAACATGTAGAGATATGTAATTTGATGTGACACCAACTCTATCCAACTAGAGTTACTACCACTCATAGCTATTAGGCAGAGAATATAATTTACATTCCTAGCAAAAAAGTCATCAAGAGTCATATCTACGTATAGTTCATTAGTTGTAAATTGGTTCGCTGTTACTAAGAGGTTATTAACAGAACACTTTTCATTTTAACTTTCAGGAGCTGGGTCTGGATATAACCGATGAACAAATTGCTGAATTGGAGTCAGCTATCCATGATATTGACTTCGCAGCGGCGGCGGAGCACGAGAAGCGTGTGCGCCATGATGTCATGGCACATGTACACACCCTTGCGGCCAGGTGCCCCCGTGCAGCGCCCATTATACACCTCGGTGCTACCTCCTGCTATGTGGGAGACAATACCGACCTGATAGTCCTGAGACATGGCCTGGATCTGCTCTTGCCAAGGCTTGCTGCGGTCATTAGTAGATTAGCGAAATTCGCTGATGAATACAAGTAAGTTTGCGTAATTTAAGTGCGTGTTAAGTATAATTATAATTTGAAATAACGTGATAGATAGATACGTTATTTCTATGTTCAATTTGACAGATTTTTTTCTTAATTTTCAGGTCGCTTCCAATTCTTGGCTTTACTCACCTGCAGCCAGCACAGCTGACAACAGTCGGGAAACGAGCTTCGCTCTGGCTGAGCGATTTACTTATGGACGAACGTGCGCTGTCCCGCGCTAGAGACGATTTGCGCTTCAGAGGAGTTAAAGGTACGACGGGCACTCAGGCCTCGTTCATGCAATTGTTTAACGGGGACTCGGAAAAAGTAAGAGCTCTGGACAAGCGGGTCGCTCTACTCGCCGGTTTTGACAAACGTTACATCGTAACAGGACAAACTTACTCTAGGAAAGTAGACCTAGAAGTCATAGCTGCTCTCTCTGGACTCGGAGCAACCGTGCACAAGATGTGTTCTGATATACGCATACTCGCCTCAAGAAAGGAATTAGAAGAACCATTTGAAACGTCCCAGATCGGATCCAGTGCTATGCCTTATAAGCGAAACCCGATGAGGTCGGAGCGTTGCTGCGCGCTGGCGCGTCATCTGATCACTTTGCACGCCAACGCCGCCAACACTCACGCGGTGCAGTGGCTCGAGCGCACTCTCGATGACTCGGCCAACCGCCGCTTAACTCTGGCTGAAGCTTTCCTCGCCGCAGATGCAACACTACTGACTCTTCTTAACATTTGCCAAGGATTGGTCGTTTACCCTAAGGTTGTAGCTCGGCATATAGCACAAGAACTTCCGTTTATGGCAACTGAAAATATTATTATGGCAATGGTGCAAGCTGGAGGAGATCGCCAAGTTTGTCATGAGAAAATAAGGGTACTGTCGCACGAAGCGGGCGCGCAAGTGAAACAGCACGGCAAAGATAATGATTTAATTGAACGCGTGAAGAAAGACTCGTATTTTGCCCCAATTATTTCACAACTTGACGCCATTTTAGATGCATCTACATTTATTGGTAGAGCACCGGAACAGGTCATCGAGTTCCTCGAGGAAGAAGTCAATCCTTTGGTTGCTAAATATAAAGATGTTTTGTCAGAACTAGAAAAACCAGTAGCTTTAAACATTTAATGCTTTTTACATTGAATTCATAAGTACAAACTCACATTGTTAATGAATAAATGGTATATTTACAGCGTGTTGTTTCTATATTAATTTATAAAAATACAAAAGTACGATCCGACAATTATAAAACATAACATGCTACATGAATTAGGTACTGGTAACTAAAGTTCAATGAAAAATTTCGAATTTCCATGAATAGTATTTAGCGAGCGCAAGCTTTATTAGGAGCACATGATTAATAAATAACTATAATATAACATTAACAAAATCAAAAAAATAAATAAGCTTAAAGAATTAGGAGAAAGAGAGAGACAGACAACGCAACTTGCAAATCAAATTATTAGGATTTGAAACAAAAATTTGTGATCACATGCTATCACAATATCGATGGCACATCGAGATTCAATTTAAACTTTTTAATGGAACTTATTTAAATTGTATTTGTGAGAAGCGTATCGCCTTGGCAAGCGGGTCCTTGACTTGGCCAATTGCAAGCACCCAGGTTAGGATCGAAACTGAGCTGTACGGGACAATTGAAGACGTGGAGTGTGAATCTCTGTTTCGTGCAGTCCCATCGGCACGCGTAGAATTTATTACATTGTTTGGGGTGACGGAAGAGACCCGCTCTCTGACAATCGACGGAACCTTGGAGCGTCTCGTCTCTTCCTCTCCAACCACCAGGACCGTATCTATCAAATGATTGAGAATCAGTCGTTACGTCCGCTCCCTTGATTTCGACAGTCGGCGATACTTCCTCGTTTAACAATACAGTTCTGTATGTAGGTGCGACAGTAACGGCCTTCACTCTCGGACGTATTCTGATAACTTTTTCGGTGGTAGAAATAATAGCTGGTGTACTAGAAACATAGTTACCATTGTCGCTGCCGTTTGGTACAATCGCTATATTATCGTTGCTAGCTTGATCTTGGTAGTCTTGGTAGAATGAATCATCAGGTACAATGATAGGATTAAATGTCGATGTTACTGCCGGTGTTGGAGTAACTACAGTGGTTACAACTGGCGTCTGTATTCTGGATGACTGCGTCACAGTATCGTAATCATTGGTATAAATTTCTTGTTGTTTCACGGCCGGTCTTCTACCTTTCAGCACCAAGACAGGCGATTGACAGCTGCATACGGCACCTAACTTTCTTACAAGGAGTGGGTTGAAATCGTTTATTTTAGTGACGACGGCAACTTTTGGCTTTGTTCGACGAACGGGGACAAAAGACGGTGTAACTTCAACTAGTTCCTGCTGTATTGGCGCGTAAGTGGAAGTTACTGTTTGGTAAGTTCCAGCACTTGGTGCGGGGGAGGATGTATAGGTTACCAATCCAGCATCTGGGCCAACAGTGCCGAATCCGAGAAGATTAGATTTAGCAGTATCAACAACAATATTCTGCTTCCTCAAAGGTGCTGCAGTTGAGGATACTACAACAGGGGTCGCATCGGAAATAGTGTATTCTTGATACGGGTTGACATTAATGTTTTGAGAATAAGATGTATCAGCATTAGTGAACCCAATTGTTTCTAATTTCTGGTTGATTTCGTCAGAAGGAGGCAAGTAATCCGGACCTCGATAAGCTGTAGTAGATTTGACGTATTCATAAGTAGGTGCTTGGGTAGTAGAAGTTACACTTGGTCTGAAATATTTCGGTCGGCTTCGACGAGGTGCAGTTGAAGTTACTTCTACGAACTCCGGTGTGTATGTCGAAGTAACCGTTTTAGGTTGTACATAATAGTTTACTGTGCTTGATACAACAGGTGCTGCAGTACTATAAGTTGCAGGTGTCACCAATCCTGCGTCAGTGCCAACTGAGCCGAAGCCAAGTAATTGCGATTTGGCAGTCTCTACGACAATGTTCTGTTTTCTATAAATAGGTGTTGAAGTTGAAGACACAACGGTGGTAGTGTCCTGTGGCACACTGTAGTCTTGGTATGGAGTTTTCGTTATTTTTGATTCAAATACCGTTTGCCCTACTGGGGGTAAGTACTCTCTTGATTTTGTAGTAGATTTAGCAGTTGTTTGAGGAGGTAAATATTCAGGTCCGTTGTATTCAAATGTTGTTTTCGAAATCGCAGGTAGATACTCCCGTGTTGTTCCAACTGTGGAATAAGTGGAAGGTTGATAAGTCGAGGTAACAACAGGAGTGGCCGTTGATACTACCGGTGGGAGATAATCTTCACCTTTATATGCCACTTGTATTTCTGGAGCTTGATAAACTGTTTGTTTGAATACAGTCTTTCTGGGCAGTTCTACTGTTGATTGACTGGATACTTGAGCAGGTACAGTTTGACTGATATCGTATTGTTGTGAAAATTCAATAGGTTTGTAATCATATTGGTCTTGAGTTTTGTAGATTGTAGAAATTTGCTCATTTATGAGTGGCACAGAAACTGTAGGTCTTGTAAATGTAGTTTGATACTTTATTTCGGGTGCAATATATCCAGCAGTTTGAGTTTTATCTTTAGTAGTGTAATGGTCTTCGTAAACTAAAGTGGAAGGTGTGGTAGAAACAAATACGACGTCTTTTCCTGAGCTATATTGATTGCCGGTGTTAAGATGAAATTCTTGACGTGATACGACGGTGGCATCTGAGTAAGCTTTGGATGAACCGACGTTAGTTTGAATTTCTGGTTGACTGTAAGTGTAGCCGGCTTCCTTCGCGCCTACATCCAAATTATTGTATGTTTGTTGACCAGTTGTTTGATATTGAACTTGACTTTGCTGAACAAATGGTTTCGTTGTTTGTGTAAAAACAGTTGCTGTAGGCTGTACGTACGAAACAGGTGCAACTTTCTGTGTATATTTCAATATAGGATTCTCATAAATGGTAACCGAAGGTTGATACGCTAATTCGACCTTGGGAAGTGGTGTAGTGGAAACCGGAACTAACTTTTCTGTTTGAATTCTCTGTCTAACCGTATAAGGTCTGAAAGTGGATGTCACAATAGGCACAGCAGTGGATGATTCCACCACGGTTTTGGCAGTTTCGTCTAGAGTAAC